CCTTGCCCCCATGACCCACAGACGTCCCGTTCACCCACTGAACTTCACCCCAGCTCTCACCTGGTAGTTCAGGCTGTGCCAGCATCTCCCACAGTGGGGTGATTGCTGTCTCTGGTCGGGGAGTTATTGGTGCACATGTTTCTTAGGAGGCAGAAGTAGGTACTGGGTATCTGTGATCTGGGGTAGTAGGAGGTGGGACCCAGCAACTTTCTGTGGACTCACAGTAACTGATACACTGTGAACCCACAGCCACTGCTCATCCAGCATTTTCTTCTTGGTTGGGATGAAGGGTAGGTGGATAGGAGGGGTTGCGGCCAGTGGGGAGGCAGATGAAGGTGATTGTCGGTGCATGGATCCTGGAGGCTGCCTGCTAGAAGGGTGTTTGGACGATGGGCAGACAAGGAGGAGGAGGTAGACAGGGGACTGGAAGGTGGCTAGCTCCTACAAGAATGCCCATTGCTCCTATGACTGCAGGGTGCCCGGTGGCTAAAAGCTGGGTGTGTGGCCTGGCCTGCCCTGCCCCCGAGCAAAGGGTACTGGTTCTAAAAATAGAAAGAAGCTCAAAGAGCTCTGGGAAAGTACTGGAAGACGTGGAATCTTTTGCAGAAGTAATTGGTCTTATTGTGAGTCTGTCCTATGGGATTTAATAGATGAGGACATTTCTGTGACCGCCCATTGAGGAATATCTCTAGGAATCCCAAGAGCAAGAAGAAAGAGGAAACTGTCAAGTTCATCTACTCTTTGGGAGTAACAGGTTTTCCTACATTGCCGATCTCCCCAGGGGAGGGAGGCGCCATATCCCTATTTGGTGTCCAGAGTAGGAATCCTCCCCCCCACAGTGGTTCTAATCCGGGGTGGCTGTTCCCCCAGGGGTCATTAGGCTGTGGGGGGAGTCACGCATGTGTGTGATGCTCCAGGCTCTGTCACCAGCCCCCACACAGGATGGCTCCCTGCATGGGCTGACCTGCCTGGGCCCCAGGAGCCAAGGCTGAGAAGCTCACATCCCTGCACTTTAAGCAGACATATAAGTGACATATAATGTTGGCCTCAAATATGGGCCACATCTGACATTTCAATTTTTCTTTTTAAGATTTATTCATTTATGCATACAGAAATGGGGTACAGGCTAGAGGTGCAGGGGGGGAGAGAATTTACCTGAGACAGAGTGGGGAGCAGAATAGGCAGATGTACTGAAATACACTGCTGAGGGGAGCAGCAGGTGGGCCAGGAGAGGTCTGTTGCACCATGTGGGTCATCTCTCTGGCCGGGGATCGAACTTGTGCTTCAGTGGCTGTGATAGCTTCGTAGTGTTGTGCTTTAACCCGTTGCACCACCAGAAAGGGCCCGGACATTTCAAAATTTCTGGTAGACATATCAAAAAGCTTCAAGGAAACAGACAACATACTCTTCCTCCATTATAGCTGAAGTCTCACATCAGCCTGCAATCAATGCTGTGTCCAGTGATTAGGGAGCTATTTTTTTGTTGTTTTGCAGCTGGTTGGCAAACAAATATTAGGCTCTTTCACACCGGCTTTTCCAGTGTCCACAGAGGGGTTTTCAGTCTCTCTCTGCGTGCCACATGCAACCACCTGGGAGTGGGGCCTTGGGTGTTCCCTGGCCTGCACTGACCTTCCTCTCCCCCCAGACTGACCAGTCAGAGGTCTGTGGAGGACGAGGAGGAGGCGCAGCGAGAGCGCCGCAGACGGCAACGCCTAGAGAGCTCCGGCTCGGAAGAAGACAAGGCGTCCAGACCCACCCCGAATGGAGACCAGCAGTCCCTACACAGGTGCTGGGTGGGGAGGCCTCATGCCTTCGCCCTGGAGACTGGGGTCTGAGGGCTCAAGGGGAAGGAGGAGGAGGGTAGCTGTGGTGGTCTCCTGAGAGGCAGCACTGTGTAAATCAGTGTGTAGACTTGGAAACTGAGGCTCACACTGAGTTCACCGGCCTGGGTCACACGGAGAGCAGGGTGGTGCGGCAGGACAACAGTCGCCTTTGCTGGAGGCCAAGCGCAGTGGGTGGTGCTCCTGTGGGTCCCCAGAGGCAGGAGAACAGGGTGTGTGTCCTGGGCTCCACCCTCCCCCTGCTGCTGCCTCCCTCAGGCTGCGTGACCAACGGGTGTGTGTGGCCGGCACATCAAAAGACTGAGTGTGCTGTGTGGCCTTTGGCAAATCCCCGAACCTCTCTGGTCTTAATCTAAACAAGGGTGGAGGCGGCTTTTATCCCTCTGACTGTCAGTGCCGGCACAGGGCTTCCACTTGTGAAGTTTAATCAGCGTTCATTGGTCAGGTCTGAACACGGAACAGTTGGGCCTGACAGATTCTTAAAGTGCTTTATGAAGGGCGGAGTGCTTTGTTCACAAGTGCCCAGGCCAATACGAAGCAGATAAAATGATTCTTATTTAAGCGATAGTGGTGGGGAAGGTCAGGCTCTGCTTGGCCCGCCCCTGCCAGCTGGACCTGCGCCAGCTGCACCTGTTCAGGGACACCCCAGGCTGCTTCCACCTCTCATGCCCCTCTCTGGTCTTCTGGTACAGGCTGCTGAGTGTGGAGGAAGAAGAGTCGCCCGCACCACTACCTGTAGCCTCCAAAAATGAGGACCAGGGCATCCAGCCCACCCCCCGGACTCGGGAGGAGCGGCAGCAGAGGCGACAGGTCGTGGAGGGGGCTCTGGCCCCTGTCCATGAGCAGCTGGAGGCAGAGAAAGGTCACAGTAGTGCTGGCCTTGGGCAGGCCAAGCCCCAGCCCTGCAGCCCCAAGAAGGAGGTGGAGCCGCCCCCCAGACGCAGACTGAGCAGACTGAGCCTGGAGCGGAGGAGCCGGAGGGTCGAGGAGGAGGAGGAGCGCGAGGCCAGCACAGAGCCAGGGCATGGCAAGCAGCGGGTCTCCGTGAAGGCCCTGTCTCCAGAGAACACCCCCGTCTCAGAGAAGTCCTCCATCCCCGAGAGGACATTGTCGCCTGAAAAGAGACTGGCCTTGGAGGAGACATCCAAGAAGAGTCTGGCCCCTGAGAGAATGTCTGTCAGGGAAAAGATAGCAGTGTCGGAGAGCAGAGCCACCTCAGAGGAAAAACCGGCTGCAGATAAACCAAGTGTGGCACAGAAGCTGCCGGCCCCGGGAAAGACCCCAGGCGCAGACAGGAGCTCAGTGTCCAAGAAGGCGCAGATCTTTGAGAAGCCACTGGAGGCACAGAAGACCCCTGCCACGGGGACAAAGCTGACCCTGAGGCGGGTGGGGCAGCCCCAGGCCCCGGAGCAGGCAGGCTCTGGGGGGAGCCCCGCTGCCAGCAAGCAGAGAGGACGGGGCCTCCCTGAGGAGAAGCCCCCTCATTCAGCAGAGGAGAGCGAGCAGGCCCCCTCTCCGTCCCCCACCGTGTGTTCCCCACTCAGGCCCGTCACATTGCAGGTGGGCATAGCTGCTGCCCTGTCCCCTCCCACCCTCCCTTGCAGCCCTGCCCAGCTGACTCTGGCCCCCTGCTGGCTCCTGACTGCTCCTTTTCAGGCTGCCTTGGCATTTCTTCTCTCTTACCTGCTTCCAGGAGCTATCAGAATAGGGGACACTGAGGCAGGGCAGGCTGCTGGCCTCTGGAGAGGGCACCAGCTGTGTGAAGGGAGCACTGGGCTCAGTGCCCACCTCCTCTTCCTGGGCCTGGACTCCAGATTCCCAGACTCTTGGGGAGCCTTGGGTCCTTCCCAAGAGGCAAGCTCTGCCTGGTGGCTTGGCCCCTCAGGACTGTGTCCAGCATGCTCATGGCAGAGGCCAGGGGCAGAAGCATAGGAAGGCAGCCTGGGGAAGAGCCAGGCCACCAGGGGTCCCCAAGGCAGTTGGATTGGGGCTGGTAAGTCCCCATCCTCCCTCCTGAAAGACTCTGCCCCTCCTCCACCAGGTGAAAATCTCCAACCAGCAAAAAGAAGACATGTCCTCACCCACCCAGGCCACCCACAGCAACTTCATTGAATGCTCCAGCCCTAGGACCAACTTCTTTCCCGTGAGAACCCAGGGTGTCTTTGTCTCCAGTCTTGGGAAGGGCAAGCCAAGAAAGCCAGCGTGCATTGCAGCATGGGGGCCTCCTGTAGCTCCCAGGAGGACCCTCTGGATAGGGAGGGGCTCTGGGCCTTGCCAGTGGCCAAGAGCACGCAAGTTTGTTCAATAAAGTATCAGGTTAAAGATCTGGAAAGCAAGAGTGGACAAGCCTGAGCAGCCCCACCTAGTGGGAGAAGCGGGAGCTGCAGGAAGCTGACCTGGCCAGGGCCCACACCTGCCTGGTCAGTTTCTGGGCTCACCCAGAAGACTTGCGCAGGTGGGAAGGTAGGACAGAGAGCAGCAGTGTCTCCTCATGCTCTCTGCTATGCCTCCCTCCCCACCCCCATGGGAGCACTTCTCTTGCCTCATACCAAGATTTATTGGCTGTTCCTTGGGTCCTTGGGTCACCGACTCATCTTGAAGGACCTTGCATTGTGCTCCCAGTATGTGTCAGGCCCCGAGAGCAGGACCAGGGCCCTGTCCACAGCAACTTCAGATAGCAGCTGACAGGCAGACAGACAGGTGGCTGCAGAGACCTGTGATGTCCTGGAGGACCCCAAGTTGGGGCTCTGACCCTACTAAGTGGAAGAGGGCAGATTTCTCCAAGACAGGGGGAGAGGCGTTTGGAGGTTCAGCTGGGGTGGAGCAGTGGAGTGGGGCTTCTGCAGAGGAGGCAGTGTTCTGACCTCGGATTCTTTTGTTCTCCTTTCAGAAAACCTGCACGGAAGATAACAAAGAACAACCTGATACCCAAAGGTGAGGGGACTGGGGCTCTGACTTTGGGTCACGTCCAGCTCTTCTGCTGAGTATCTGCCATCCATTCTCCCTGCCATAGGCCCACCTCCATAGGAGGTGGAGGGTGCACTCCTGGTCTTGGGTCCGGATCTGGCCCAGAGACTGGACTGAGGCCAGATGAGCTGGCACAGGCAGGGTGGAGCTCTGTGGAGAAGGTGGGTGGGGCTGTCAAGGTGGGGGTTAGTGGGAGGTGTGGGGTACAAGCAGGGGTGGGCTTTCCCAGAGGGAGACTGGAAAGGAGAGTCTGCTGCAGTGCCTGGTGCTGGGGCCTGGAAATCTGCATTTAGGGAGAAACCCACCCAGCCATAGTCTTGGTGTGACTAGTCTGAGGACTGTGTTTTTTTTTTTTTTTTTTAAAGATTTATTTATTTGTGCATACAGAACTGGGGTACAGGTCAGAGGCTCAGGGGTGGCAAGAGGCTTCACCAGTGACAGAGTGGGGAGCAGAACAGCCAGATCTACGAAGTACACTGCTGAGGGGAGCAGCGGGCGGGCCAGGAGAGGTCTGCTGCGCCATGTGGTCACCTCCGGGGCAGGCAGGAATTGAACCCATGTGGAAGTGGCTTTAGCCTCTCAGTGCTGTGCTTTAACCCGCTGCGCCACCAGGGAGGGCCCTGAGGACTGTGTTTTGATGAAAATAAAAACAAAAATAGAAAAGGCCCTGAGCCTCAGCTGTGTGGATGGACTGGGATGTCCTGTCCTCCTGAACTCCATGCCCCTAACCACTCCTGGAGATTGACCACCCTTGGCAGTCCTGGGGGCAGGGGACTGTGAGAGGCAGTGTCCAATAGGACACGCTGGAAGTAACTGACCTCTGACCATTAAGCTCACAAGAGCCCTTGGTGGGGAGCAGAGGGGTAGGAAGACCAGCCTGGGTTGGGGGCTCCTGGCATACAACTGTCAGCCAGCCAGAGCCAGGGAATCTGGCACAGGAGAATAGATGTCCAGACAGACTTGAGCTAGTGGTACCTTTCCAGGTGGAGGACAAAGGGATGGCATTTTAATAGCAGGAAGCCTGGAAGAGGCAGAGTGTGGTGCCGCTAGGTGCCTCGTTGGCTGAAATGCAAGCATGTGGCTAAGGTGCTTCAGGGGTGGGGGCGGGGGGTGGCAGGGACCAAGCCATCAGCCTTGGTGCTGGGCCAAGACTTGGTCCCTGTTTGAATTGGAAGGGCAAGATGCGCTTTATTTGGGGTAAGAGTATTCTAGAGGCAGTGGGGAGAGAACTTGGGGGCCTCGGGGGAGTAGGCAGAAGGTGACTCAGTTTAATGGAGGATGGAAGGGAAGGGTTTGAGTGAGGAGGTGTTTCTGAGGCCAAAGTGATGGGTAGGAGCAAAGGAGATGTCTGACCCTGATGATGTCCTTTTAACTGGGATGCTTCCAGAAGGTGAGGAAAGTTCCTGGAGTCTGTAGATTTTCACTCTGGCCAAGTCATGGTTGGCTCGGTGATGGCAGCCATGTCTCCTTGCCAGATGGTGGGGTGGAGGCTTCTCCTTAGGCATGGAGGGTCAGTGAGCTCCCTTGATGTGGGGCTCACATCTTCTTTGTCTTGTCCACCCTCCCACAGTGCCAGCGGGAAGATTCCATCTCGCAGGGACAGCTTCAAGGACCCAGCCCCCAGTACCAGTTCGAGAGGCCTAACCCGCAGTGCCAGCATGAAGTTAGAGGACAAGCTGAAGCAGTATCACTCGGCTATAAAGGTGGGCGGGGGCTCTTGCAGAAGCCTGGAAACCAGAGTGGGAGGTGGGGGTTCTGGGCACCCCAAGCTGGTGGGCCAACGCTCGTGTTCTCTGTTCCCAGAGAACAGAATCTGTCAAGTCTCCCCGCACAGAGGTCAATGTGCCTCTCTCCAGCGTGGCCAGCAAGCGCAACTTCTTTGAGAAGGAGATAAGCGGGCAGAGCCGAGCAGAGCGAGTCTCCAGCATGAAGGTGAGGGCCTGGGCCAGCGGGTGTCTTCAGGTTGATGAGGCCTGAGGTCCCCACGCCTAAAGCTTGGTCCTTGTGCTACTGGCAACCTCCCTGTCTCCATGTGTCAGCTGTGGGATCACTTGGCACTGACTGAGAGGCCTTTCCTGTCCCGAGCCCATGTCTACTCTGGCCTGTGTTTTGCTCCTGGAGGGAGGTGGGGGAGAGGACGGTGTGGGACAAGTGACGTGTGCTGAGGGACAGTCCTACATGTGAAGCTGCCTTGCTGTGGCCAGCGGCCCAGTCCTCACATGGAAGCCTCTGTTTTCAGGAGAGCTTGAAACTCTCAGGGGTGGTGACTGCAAAGGTCAACCTGTGGAGCATCAGGACCCAGGAGTCTGTCGTGGAGGACCGCCAGGTAGCCGTCCCTGGCCGAGGCCTCTTCCTCTGGGCTTTCCCTGGTGGAGGGCCTGGTCAGTGGGTGGCCCCCAGGGTGAAACAGACATGCCAGGGTGGAGATGAGGTGTGGGGTGGAGCTGCCTGGGGCCCAGAGGCAGCAGAGAGGGGGGTGGGTCTGAGTCATCTGTCTCAGAAGGGGTGGGGCCTAGGGACTCTGAGCCCCTGCACAGCCAGCCCTAATCCTTGGTGCCCCATTTAGGAGGTGCGGAAAGCTCCAGCATCCATGACGGCAGAGTCCTTCCTGGATGTTGAGGTGAGTGGGGGAGAGAGTGCCTTGCCCTGGAAGGGGATTCCCAGACCCACCCCCAACACACATACTAACCACCCGAGGTTGCCCAGTCCACATCTGAGGTTGCCCGGGTCCTGCTTTTGCTGCTCTGACCCTGAGCTGCTGTTCTTCCTCACCTGCTCTCCTTGCTTCCCCCACTCTCTGCAAACCCAGCCCCCTCCACCAGCAGATCTGGAGTCTCTGGTCCAGCGTGGTATGGGGCATGGGTGCGGGGGCACCTTCCTGTCCAGGGGTCCTCTTCTACTTCCAGCCCAAGGATCCCCCTTCCCTTGTTCTAATGGACCTTCCCCACAGGTGTGACGAGCGGACCCTCACAGACAGACATGCCACGCTGCGCCCAGGGGACCTTCCTCCTGCCAGGGTCCTGCCTCCTGCCTCCGTCCCCACCTCTCATTGTCCCTGCTCTTCTGCCTCCGCTTGACACCAGGAAAGTTGGGGAGCTGCTCCCCAGCCCAGCTTCTAGAGGCACATGTGTCCTGCCCTCAGGCTTCCGCCCTGGAGATCATGGGACCCCACGTCTCCCGGGGTATGTCCCTGGGTGTCTTTCCAGAGAACACCCCTACTTCTGGCTCACATCCAAGGCCAGGGTGGAGCTGACCCCATCTCCAAGGTCCTGTCTGATCTATTCCCAGCAGTTGCCTCCGCGTGCCTCTGACGTCCGTCTTCCCTGAAGCCTCCAGCCAGGTCCCTGGGCTGCTCCAGCCCACAGAGGCGCCTCTGGACCTCTGGAGGGAGGTCCAGAGACCAAGGGAGCTGCCCGGCATCTTGCATGGGCCGCACCCCTGCTGGGCCGCCCTCACTCCCTTCCTTGGCTGGGAGCCCTGTGCCTTTCTAGACCTCCCTCACTCCTGTAAAACCAATCTCAGGAAAGATGTGATTAAACCCATTTACTTGAGGAATAAGTGATGAATAAAAATGGACTCCTCCTGGAGTCTGCTCTTTATCAGGGATCATCTTCGGTGTGCGGGTCGCTTTATTTGGGGGTGTCAGCCTTTCCCAGCAGCCTTCCTCCTTCTGGGATCCTACTCCTGCCTTGGCTTCTGTGGACCTGCAGGCCTCCCAGCTCCCAGCAACCCTGAGGGCCCATCTTTTGGGGTGTCTTCTGTGATGGTCCCCCATGCCTGTTCTGAGCTGGGTGTAAGAACAAGGACCCCAGCCCTGAGCACCCCAAGCCCCACACCATGCCTGAACAGGAGAGTTTGAAGAAGTCAGGGCCTGGGAGTGGACTGTGCCATGTTCAGAGTTGGTGGTGGTGGTGGTAGGGGGGTTGAACTTGGCCCTGTGGAGCTTGGAGTTCAACCGAAGGACCTGAAGGTTTTGAATATGTGTGTTCAGAACTTTGGGAATCCCCTGACATGTGACAGTGAGCTTTCCCTCAGCCTCCTTCCAGGGCGGAAGCCTGAGAGCAGACTGAATGCTGACCTGGGGTCACCAGGGTGTCCAGGCAGCTACCACCTCTGCACAGTGAGCCCTTGTTCCTCCATGCCCTGCGGGGGCCCCACTGAGTGCAGCTGCTAGGTAGTGTCTGGCTACCTGACCTGCCTGTATTCCTTCTCCCATGTGTCCATACTCCCCATACATGAGGGCCTGACCCCACCTGACACAGCCAACAGATGACAGGCGGGAGGGTCACGGAGGACAGGAGGCCCTGAATGGGCCTTGAAGTGGGCAGGAAGGCCTGGACGAGGCGTCTGAGCAGCTTCTGGGCACAGAGCAGTTCCTTCCCCGCCCCACCCAGCACTTCTGTGGAGCTCGGGGTTTCCCTGGGGCTTCGTGGGGATGCAGTGGTTGGGCCACCTGGGAGGAGACAAGTCCACAGGTGGGGTCAGGCCTTGGGCCCAGAGGAGGACCCTGGAGGGGACAGCTCCAGCCGAGTGATAGTGCCTAAGCCACAGAGCATGCTAAGGAGCAGCTGGACAGGGCGTGTCCAGGCCGTCGGGGGGAGCGGTGGGCTGCTCCCAGGGCAGCAGGGCTGAGTAGAGTGTGAGGACTGGGGGGGCTGGAGGAGGAGGTAGAGGACAGAGGACTTCCCACAGAGATGCTGAGATGGCGGCTTGCAGCAGGGCCAGGAGTTTGGCCTCAGGGTCACACAGGACAGGCCCGGTTCAGAGGCCAGCCTTCCTTGCTCGTAGTTAGGGTGTGGACAGTGAAGGACTGGGGAGATGGATGGGAGCAAGCTCAGCTGCCACTGGGCTTGTCTGCACCGTCACCCACATGCCTTTTACACTTTATGCTGAGCCCTAAAGTGTCCCGAGCACTTCACAAAGGCCTTGGGTCCTGACTTCCTGGACTGGTAGTGTGGTCACTTTCACACATCTGGGGCTGACCTGTGTTTGAGAACCCAGAGGGATGAGCTTGCCCATACACTAGGTGTCTGAGGAGAGCCCTGCTTCTCACTGGTGGCTCCTCCTTGTGTCTGGCTCATAGTCCACGTCGTACCTCCCCGGAGGAGCCGTGTCCATGTCTGGGGTCATGGAGGAGACACTGAGGCCACAGACCCTGCAGCCTGAGCCTCACTTGGAACTTGCACGAGCCCTCCCCTCTGGCCCTGACCCCGCTCTCAAGGCTCCTGGAGGCTCTCAGAGGGGCCTTCAGCCCTCCTGCCTGCAGGCCAGGGCACTGGCCTGTGCTTTATCAGGGCTGTCAAGAGGGACAGCTGGCTTATGTGACGGGCCGGCTCCCTTCGTGTCCCTGCATATCTGCTCTGGTTTTAAATAGCGTCTCTGAGCAACTGGGCCAGCACATGGGCTTATAAGGCGTGGGGTCTTTGTCCTTAGCCCTGTCCCCAAATAGTAGCCAACACCCCTCCCCACTGTGCCTCCCACCCCTGGTGTGCCCCCCTCACATGTCTCCTGCTGCAAGTTCCTCCCAGGGCAGGGCTTGGCTCCCCAAGTCCCAGCCCACCAACTGCTTCAACTCTCCCTACACTCTCTTAATCTGGTATTTAAAGTCCCCTTGGGCCCTCCCTGGTGGCACAACAGGTTAAAGCACAGTACCATGAAGCTAGCACAGCCACTGAAACAGAAGTTTGATTCCCGGCCTCAGAGCTGACCACCATGGCGTGGCAGACCTTTCCTGACCCGCCCGCTGCTTCCCTCAGCAGTGTACTTCAGTACATGTCCCTGTTCTGCTCCCCACTCTGTCTCTAGTGAATCCTTTCACCTCCCTTATCTCTGACCTATACCCCAGTTCTGTATGCATACATAAGTAAGTCTTAAAAGTCCCCTTAATCATCATTTTAATTTTACCACATATGTACAGCTTCACAATCATAAACTATACATTTTAAAAATGAAGCCAATAAATAGCAAGGCTAGTGAAAAAGTTAAGTGTCCAAGCTAAAAAAAAAACAGCAAATTTTACTGTACTAAAAATGCATAAATAACATTGGTAGAATTAATCATCCTCTGCTCTAGACTGGATTGTGCACCCTGCCCTATCCCTAGGGGGCCCTGACTCCCATGGCTGCACCCAGAGGCAATGATGTGAATGCCGCCTAAGGGTGAGACCCTGTCACCTATGGCCATGTCCTCATCAGCGACACACCATCACCCTGGGACACCCTCCCTTGCAGGCAAGCAGATCCCCCAAGCTTCCCTGGCCCCGGGAAGGAATCGCAGCCCCATCGCGGATGCAAGTCAGGATGGTTCAAGGTGGCCGTCCCCACCGTGTCTAGGAATAAAGGGAAAGCAGGGGAAAATAGATGCAGAGGAACGAGACAGAGTGAATCTAAGAGAGAGCTGATGTTCAAAGGAGATGTACAAGTATGTTCAAGCTCTTCCTCTGATATGATTAAGTGAGGGAAGAAGAAATGTGCATTTGAAGCCACACATCATCAGGTCTGTTTCTCATATCTAAGGAGCCTGTGACTACTTTTTTTTTTTTTAGAAGGACTGGGATATAGGCCTCACTGAGGAGCAGGGGAGAGGTAGGGGTGAGCGGACTCAGCAGAGACAGAGTGGGGAGCAGAGCAGGCAGATCTACTGAAACACACTGCTGAGGGGAGCAGTGGATGAGACAGGAGAGGTCTGCTGCGCCATGTGGGTCACCCCGGGGCCAGGGACTGAACTCAGGCCTCAGTGGTGATAGCACTGAGACTTAATCTTTAGGAGGCCCACCTGTGACTATTTTTATGACAATTTCGAGATTACATACATTCTACAAATTATCTTATTTGCTACTATAAATATATCAAGTAGAAAGCATTTCCAAAATGCAGGGGTTTTGGTTTATTTTTTACTTTCTTACATCATTGCTCATTTTTGTACAATATCTGATTCCTTTTCTCAGGTGTTGTTCCCATAATTCTCCCGCCACCGCAGCACCTGGGTTTTTAAAAGCTGGGCTTTCAGAGCTATTTTGACAGGGTTAGGCTGGTAGCTGCAGAAGCCCAACACTGGGGGGCACCCAGTCATCTTCCCATTGGAGTCACTGAGCTGTCAACTTTATTTCCAACTTCATGTGCATAGAGTTCCCCAACAGAGATTGTTTTGATCACATGCATGTATGTGGACTATGCTTACAAAACAAAAAGAGTTTGTGTATAGGGTCATTTTATTCTCAGAAGTCATAGCCGTGTAAGCTACGCTTTTGAGAGTGCTCAAGTATACCCAGGCTCTGTATGCATAAATAAATAAATATTAAAAATAGAAATATTGCTATCAGACCAAGTATTTATGGCTCAGGAGAAAAGTCAGTAATTGCGAATGATAAGATAACACAATGGGGTTTTTGAAGCAATGACACTTCAATGGTATGTGGACAGACTTCGGGAGATGGAGAGGGTCAGGACAGGTGACAGTGACTCTGACATTAAATTATTATTTTTTAAAGATTTATTTATTCATACAGAACTGGGGTACAGGCAGAGATGCGGAGGGTGAAAGGATTCACCAGGTACAGAGCGGGGAGCAGAACAGGCAGATCGATGAAGTACACTGCTGAGGGGAGCAGCAGGCGGGTCAGGAGAGGTCTGCCACGCCATGTGGTCTCCTCCTCCACCTGAAAATTTCCAGCAATGCCTCTCTGAGAACTATCATTTAGTACAAATTGTGTGAGGGGATTTTTCTGCCAATAAAATGCGAATTTTGAGAATACCTAGAAAATAAATATTTTGCTGAAATCAAGGTAAAACATTTATGCAAAATATGATAATTCAGTTTTACATGCATTTGATTTCTCATTCATCCAAACTTTGACAGCTCATGATCAAAACATCAGGCATGACGTTGTCAGTAGACACGCGCTCTTTTTTCTACCTTCACTTCTCAGTGTGACATTGTCAGTCAGTTGCTCCTACATTGTGTTATTACTGGAGCATCGACGGCAGAGACCCCTTCATGGTGGAAATATGTTTTTACCCATTTCTTACCCTTTCCATTATTAATAGGGACCTCAAATGTCAGTTCCTATGCAGGTGAGTAATGGAATATAGATTATCCTTTATTACGAGGTGACGAGGGAGAGAGGGCATCGTCCTGGACAGGGGGGTGGGGGATTCCCAGGCCCACCCTCCCCAACACACATACTAACTGCCTGAGGTTGCCCAGTTCCCATCCGAGGTTGCCTGGGTGCTGCTCTGGCTGCTGTGACCCTGCCCTTCTCTACCCCCTCAAGCAGGCTTTGCTTTCCCCACACTCCGCAAACCCAGCCCCCTCCACCAGCAAATTGAACTCTCCTCATGCCAGGCTCTTGCCTCCGGCCTCCATCCCTATCTTTGTCCCTGTTCCCCTTCTATCTCCATTTGACCCCATAAATGTTGTGCTTCTATGGTGGCTCCTCCTTGTGTCTGGCTCATGGTCCATGTTGGTCCCTCCCCGGAGGAGGTGTGTCCATGTCTGGGATCATGGAGGAGACACTGAGGCCACAGACCCTGCAGCCTGAGCCTCACTTGGAACTCGCACGAACCCTCCCCTCTGGCCCTGACCCCACTCCCAAGGCTCCTGGAGGCTCTCAGAGGGGCCTTCAGCCCTCCTGCCTGCAGGCCAGGGCACTGGCCTGTGCTTTATCAGGACTGTCAAGAGGGACAGCTGGCTTATGTGACGGGCCGGCTCCCTTCGTGTCCCTGCATATCTGCTCTGGTTTTAAATAGCGTCTCTGAGCAACTGGGCCAGCACATGGGCTTATAAGGCGTGGGGTCCTTGTCTTCAGCCCTGTCCCTGGAACCTGCCCAGATAGCAGCCAACACCCCTCCCCACCGTGCCTCCCCCCTCCTGTGTCTCCAGCTGCAAGTTCCTCCCAGGGCAGGGCTTGGCTACCCAGGCCCCAGGCGCCGGCTGCTTAAAGCCCTCTCCAGGCCCGCCCTCCCCAGTCCTGCCCAAGTTAAGCAGACACCTGAGGCCCTGTCAGCAGTGCCTGTTCTGAGGTAAGTTTTGGGCAGGATGCTTGAAGGGGGAGAGCAGACATTGGAGACCAGCTTTTCAGGGGATTAGCCTCTTCACCAAGTCAGCCTGTGTCCCCTCGAGTGCGGCTGGTGGTAATGGAGGTCTTGGTCCCCGAATGGAGACACAGGTTTGAGGGGATGTTGGGACAGGAGCAGCGGTGGGGCACAAGGTCCCTGTCGGAACCCAGACTTGGGGTCTGTCCTGGCCCAGCAGGTCCTCCTTGGGCTCCAGGGAGCAGAGCCAGACTGTGGTGCCATCAGTGCATGAAGAGTTCAGTTCTCATCCCCAAGAGAAAGAGGGTGTCCTGGAGCCCTGATGAAGGCCAGATCCTCCCAGGGCAGGCAGTGGTCACTTACCACTTCCCCAGAGCCACCCCAGGCCTGGCTCATTGCCCACGCTGAGCAGCACGGGGCTCAGGGGCCCAGGACCCTCTTTCAGTCCATCTGCCTATTCTGCTCCCCACTTTGTCTCCGGTGAATCCTCTCATCCCTTGCACCTCTGGCCTGTACCCCAGTTCTATATGCACACATAAATAAATCTTTATTTTTAAAAGAGGACTTTTTTGGGATATAGTGACAGATCAGCCTGCACTTGTAAGAAATGGCGATCCCTGCATGCACCTCCCTTTCCCTGGCACTTGCCGGCCTGCCCGTGAGCGTATCCAGACCCCCTTCAGCTTGTACTGTGCGTGTGAGTGTGCGTGTGTGTGTGTGTGTGTGTGTGTGTGTGTGTGTGTGTGTGAAATTCAGCACAGCTTTAGCTTGTGTAAGTTCATGTGTGATCAGCCAAGGGCTTCCAGACCTCAGCGATCACTGTTACTCCCTTTTATTAACACCCCACCATCCCCCCGCAAACCCACCTGTCTCCATTTTTCTTTGCCACTTCTGGAAGCTCATGTGGACGGAGTCCCATGAATTGGCCTTTCCCCCTGAGGAAAGCTCTCTGGAAATCCCCCTGAGCTGAGGTAGGGGGATCACAGGAAGCACCGTGGGGGCCCCGTGGTCTGGGCGTGCCTTATCCTGTGACACTCACCTGGGACGCTCAGTTAATGGACAGGTGGTGGAGGTGCTGGCAGCAAAGCAGCCTGAACGCCCATCGGCCTGCAAAGGCTGGAGCTGGGGAAACAGGGTTTTGAGAGTCACTGGTGATCCAAACACTGAAATTTCAAGGTCTGCTCTTTTGGGTGAAGTGAAGTGGATGCTGGTTGTGGTCTGTCTGTGGGGAGGGTGTCATGACCCTGGGGAGGCAGAAGCCTGCTCCAGACTGCAGGTCTCAGACAGGGAGTAGCTTCACCTCAGCCCTCTCTGGTCTGAGCCCTCTGCTGGGGCGAGGAGTGTGGCTGCCGCTCCCTCTCAGAGACACCTTTCTCTCCTGAGGCGCGCAGAAGCCATGTCTGACCAGGAAGAGGCCCTGGAAGAGTGTGAACCGTGAGTACCCAGAGCGTCCGGCCCGGGGTGATGCCCAACGGCCCAGGAAGACCTTGGGGTGGGGCAAGGCTGTTCCTGTTGGGCACTAGATGAGGGACGTAGCCCCTTCATTTCCTTGTCTGGGGCCAGGGGGTGTTTGAGAATAACAACTTTCAGCCGCTGAGGTCAGCAAGGTAACCCTCTGGCTAGGAGACAAGCCAGGAGCAGAGGAACACAGAAGCAGGTCTCCTGGTAAAGGGTCTAGAAAGGTCCAGCGGCTGCCCAGCAGACACAGCTGATCACCCCAACAGACACCCCCCCAGAGCCCCGCATTCTCACACCACCAGAAGTCACCCTCCCGAGGGTGCCCTTTCCACTCTGCCATGTTGGAGACACTCTGTGGGGTGCCAGGCGCTGGGTCCCTGTCGGCCAACCCACCGCAGTCTCTGGGCAGTGGTCACAGGGGATAACAGAGGTGTGGGCACAGCTCCTGCCCTCACGGAATGACTCTTTTCTCTGTCTGTGAGATGTGAAGTGTTGGGAGGGAGCCACGAGCAAACTGGAGCCCCGCTGGGAGCGGGGGTATCTGTGGTGCTGGGAGGGGTGGGGACCTCTGAGGATGCAGCAGTCAGGGAAGGCTGCATGGAGGAGGCAGGTCTTACCAAATAGGGCTTGGATAGAGAGAGAGGAAAGAGGGAAGGACTTTCTAGAAGGGAGCATGGGAGAGCTCAGAGGTGACTTGGAGAACTCAGAGGGACCAGAGCAGCTAAAGGAGAGGTTCTAAGAGGACAGGGAGGTACCCTGCACCAGGATGCTGGAGGGTTGGGGGTGCAGGCAGTGGATGGTGACTTCCATTAGGTAACGCAGAAAATGAAAGGGATTTTCCCAGTCTGTGTGTGTGTGTGTGTGCGCCTGTGTGTATCTGTGTCTGTGTATGTATCTCTCTGTGTGTGTGCTTGTGCATTCTTGATGGCGTCTTCTGCCCTGCAGGGAGCAGGAAGGTAAGCACACCCCTCTCCTCATTTGGAGGAAGGATAGCCTGGTGTGGAACTGACTCATCTCTTCTCTTCTTTCCCGGGCGGGGACTGTCTCCTCGGAACAGAAGAAGCTGTGGAAGGTATGTGGGTCCTGGGGCAGGAGGGTCAGAAAGAAGCTGTCCCTGGGACCGAGCATTGCAGGGGGCCCTGGAAAACAGCTAGCTGGTCCCCTCCCTCCCAGTCGAGCAAAGCTCCTGTCGCCCTCAGGGCTCCTGAGTGGAATCTGTCCAAACTTGGTTGCTCAGCTCTTAAGACAAAAGGTTTAAAGGTCTCTTTATCTTCCATTTTTGTTCAAACACCATGATGACTCTTTCCAAATATTAGATTTGCTTTCATTTAAAAAAATTTTTTTACCCAGAAAACTTTTAAATGCATATGAAAGAAGCAAACGAAGACCACCCCCTGCTCCCACCACCATAGCATCGTCAAATACCGATTTATGTTTACCTGTGCTCTGCCAGAGATCTGCGGCAGACATCCAGAATAATACCCAGCTCTCATGTCATTTCATGCTTAAATCTTTCCAAATGTGTCTCTTAAATTCTGCTATTGAGAATAACCAGGTATACATAAAAACAATCAATTGTGTAATTTTTTCAAGTAATTTCTGAATACAAATTGTTCATTAGCCGGGACATTTCATATTTTTATCTTTACCTGGTGGGAGGTGGAGCGACCCATATTGACTGCAGGTCTTTGCGATTCCTGCTCTTCCACGTGTCCACAACTGGTCTGCCTAGCGTGACCCTCCTGAACTCTCGAGCTCACCCTGACCTTTTCCTCCTCCTGAGCACTTGGCGCCGGCATGGAGAGACACCCTGCAGCTCCCACCAGCCCCAAAACGCTCTCTGCACCTGCACCCCAGGCGGGACGTGGCCCCCCACATGCTCGGAAGTACCCGCCAGCACATGGGGTGTGGACATTAGGGGGAGGACACAGTGGAGGTCCAGGGCAAGAGCTTGGGAGGGGGCAGGAGCTGCTGCTCCTGCTTCCTGTGTCTTCTGGGGACAGTAGGGACCCTCTTACACAGGTGAGACTTTTCAGGGGCGTTATAAGCGGGGTTCACAGGAGATACTGAGTGGCGACAGGTTCCTTTACGTTTCCCAGGAACTCTAGTCTCTCCAGGGGTATTTAAAATAACTTTGGATCAAAAATCGAGCCCCAACTTCTGCTGTGTGCCCTTGCAGAAGACCTTCAGTGGGGTGGGTCTTCCCTTGTTTGGGGGCTTTATCAGCTCACAGCAATAGGCATTTTGGCTGAGGTTTGAGGAATGGGGGCCAGACGGCTTGCTACACCGTAGAGGCTGGCTGTGCATTGACGAAACAACCCCTGCCTCACGCTGTCCCCCTCAGTGTCACATCTGCCTTGCTTGCTTGAGCAGAAGACAGCTGCCTCCCGTGCAGCGGCGCCCCTGGCCCTGAGTGACCACGACAGCGGAGCGTGCATGGCCCCTGAGCCGTGGGTGGGCCAGCCAGTGTCAGCTCCTCCAGGAGTGAGAGGAACCCAGAGCTGTACACTCTTCCTGGAGCAGCCATTCAGAGGCCATGCTGGGTCTCCCTTAGCGGAGCAGCCGCCTGGACAGAGGCAAAGGCCGACATTGCTCCTCCTGGGCGGCTTCCCGAGCTGTGGTCCCACACACAGCATGTATTTTGGGTGATACCTGAGAGTGTGATTTGGGGTGGCATGGGGGACACTTGATAGGAGTGAATGGCTCCCCACACTGTCCTTTGGGGCCTCTGGTCGTGAGAGGGGAGTGGAGGCCATGCCTACAGGCAGGGCAGAGACGGTCAGTTGCCCCAGTGGACTGCTCAAACTCTTAATCCTTCAGTAGGGGCCGGAGGACAATGACAGTTGACCCTGGGACAAGGCAGGGGGTAGGGGAGCTGAACCCCGCGTAGCCAAATACACACATGTGGCTTAGCCTGGGCCCTCTGAGCCTGCAGGTTGAGCTTGTGACTTCACAGACTGTGGGAGAAAAGAGCTAAGCACAGGGGGACCCGAAAGGCCGAAACCTCTGTGGCCAGCCAACTGCATTTCCCTTTTATTCACGAGGCCCCTGGGCCCCAGGGGGGTCCTTCGAGGTGGTAGCGGGCGCGGGCACACAGCCGGCCTGGAGGGTCCGCGTGGCATGCCGTGCACTGCTGGCCACTTCTGTCACTGTCCCTCGCGCCCAGACTAACCTGTCTCGCTTCTCCCTTTGCCGCTGCTGAGCTCAGAGGAGGAAGACTGGAGAGAGGACGAAGACGACGGTAGTACAGCCTGCCTTCTGTGGTGCTTTCTGCCTTGCTGTCCTCAGAGCTCCTGTTAGAGGGGGTCGGGGTGGGGGGAGGGGAGGAGCCAGCTCTTCCCTCTTCAGAGTGCCCAGACCTGCCCTTCCGAGCTCTTCTCTGTGTCTCTTCAGGCCACTGCTCCTTCCCAGCTCCCATCCTGCCCTGGGCTAGGGGTGCCCAGGACAGCTTATGGCCCAGCCTGCTCTGCTCTAGATGAGTGGCTGGCTCTGCCCCCACCTGTGTTCTGTACTGGACACTTCTGAGCTGGACAGCTGCCAGGCAGGGTGGCCAGAGCACGAGGGCTTGGTGTCAAAGTCATCTGATGAGCAGCTAGAGGATCTGGAAGTGGCCAGAGCAGAAAGGACATGATGTCAGCCTTCAGTGGGGCCCTGCTGGGGACAAAGGCCAGGACTATCTTTGTGTCTGAGGATAGGACTAGGGCCAGGGAGGCAGATTAGGGCTTAAATTTTGTAGGCGTTTTGACCCAGTGAGGTCTCATGAAGGGTGGGTGCCCTGTCATTGGGGGTGTTGTATGGTCCCTGATGGAGGGATGTCTGCAAGATGTGAAGCATCAGATGGGGTGGGGGTGGGTGTTAACAGGGTGTCCTGAAGGTGGGCTCTACAACCGGATGTACCCTTGCCATCCCATTCTCTATTTTCACCATTCTAGAAGGGTCTGCTTTGAGGCAAGGCTGTTGCAGGCATCAAAGAAGAGGCATGTCCAGGCCTCAGAGCAGATTCAAGAAAAGAACACAGGGAGGATGGGGGCACAGAGAGTGGGCCTAGCCCATGGGCCTTCCAGCCCAAGGCCTCCTCCTCCCTCTGCCTGGAGGGTACACCAAGTCCTTGCCCAGCAGAGCCCTGTGCTGTCTCACTTGACCATTATGGGGGCCATATATGTCAAACAAATGATAACGATGGAAACTTGTGCCAGCTCTCTGGACACCCCACCCAACTCCAACTTGCTTTTTGGTTTCTTTTAGATACAGAAAAGGGTGCTTGGACTGACCGGGTCCAGGATATGAGCTTCCCCGACACCTCCCTTTGAGCAGAACACATGCTTTGGTCACTGGGCAGAAAGTAGGGGAGAGGGCTGGAGGCTGTAGGGGAAAGCGGAGCTAAGTCAGGCAGAGAGAGCCAGTGACTCCCCCGACCCCAGCAGTGGGTTTTGCTGGGGCTACCCTCTGCTCACAACACCTACCACATCCTAACCTGGGGCTCCTGCCTCAGGGTGCTAGGCCCTCATTACACCAGAGGAGAACAGGTCTCCATGCTGGGAAAGGACCCCTTCTGTTCCCAAACTCCCAAGAAGACAGGCTTGGAACAGAACGACTCCATGCCTTCTGATGGTTTCCCAGGGGTCAGCAGACTATTTCTGTAAAGGACAGGCTCTAATATTTGGGGTTTTGTGGGCCGCACAGTCTGTGTTGAATTTCTTGTCTCTGTTGTTGTAGCATGAAGCAGCCAAAGGTCAGATGCTAGTGAATATTTGTGACGATGTTCCAATAAAACTTTATTTACAAACGTGATCTGGGGGCCGGATTTAGTTCTGGGTGCAACACAGTTTGCTGACTTCTGGTTTAAACCAAGAACTGAGCAGTCCCTACCATTCACTTTGGTTGTGCCCCCAGTTCATCTTGAAGCCAGATATCCCGTTCCCCTCTGTTCTATGTGTGTTGGCACAGGCAGGGCCTGGCTGGTCACTGTGTCTGGTTTATGTCCCCAGAGCAGGAAGAACTAGCAGAAGAAGAAGAGGCTGAAGGTGAAGCTGAAGGTGAGGCTGATGCTGAGGAGACCAATGTGGAAGGTAAGGTGCTGGGGTGAGTGTGGGGGGCCTTTCGTGGTGTCAAGGTTGCCTTGGTGGTAAGAACTTTGTTGGGAAAATCCCTTTGATCTGTGCATCTGTGCTGGGCTTGAAGGAGCCCTGCCTGCACCAGAGCTGTGAGCTCCTTACCATTGGCATGAATATGGTGTGCAACAGACAGCTCCCTGACCCCCTAACCCAGCAGGGTGCACTCTAGTGAGGACCTGTTGGGGGGCCAGGCCGTGGCAGAGGGACATAGGCTCAGAAGAAAGATCTTTGTTGACTTATCCTGTTCTGTGTAGGAGACACACAAGAAGAGGAAGCTAAAGATGCTGACGGTGAGGACTGTTGGACATCAAGAGAAAGGAATTGGGGTGATAAAGGAATTGGGGGTGCTGCCAACAGGACGCTGCAGGGAAGTGTGGGAGAGAGGCTCAGGGGAGGAGAGGTCTGGTGGTGGTGCTGGTTTTAGATAGTGGTCTCCAAACCTTGGCCCTCCTTCCAGAGAAGCTGCTTCAGGGGGCCAATGGGAGAGAGGACTAGTGAACTGGCCCCTGCTGGTCGGGGTGCCAGGGGTCACACCTACATCCGTGGCTCAGGCAAAATCGCTCTGTGGGTCTTTGTGGGTCACTGCTGTGGATATAGCCACACTGCAGCCATTACAAGGGGCCCAAGGGGCCCAGCTTTGTCTCTGGAGGGAGCGGTTCCTAGAGGGACTCTGGAATCATGCCATAGGCTTCCCGGCCCCGTGGCTACCAGAAAGCAAGGAGGGAAGACTTGGGAGGGGACCTGGGGCTCCAGGAGGCCATGGCAGGGATCTCCAGGGTGAAGGAGACTATTATACCAACAGAGAAAGGAGTCCACAGGTGTCCAGGTGGTGCGGGGCAGAGCTGGGGCCTCCTGACCCTGTGCCCATGTGTCTCTCTCCTCCCCAGATGGCCCGGTGGAGGAGTCCAAACCCAAGCCCAGGTGAGTGGCCACTCCTGGCGTGAAGCCCTAGGAGCAGAAGCCAGTGAGGGAGAATGGGCAGAACAGGACAGGAATAAGGGGCCCAGTGGGCGTGGCCTGGGAGTGTGTTGGGCACAGACCTGTATGGTTGCACAGGTTGTGTATGGCACAAAGGTCTGGCCTGATGGAGAGAGTAGGAGATGAAATCCATCCTACATCCCACTACTAACTGCACGGCCTGGCACGGCCAGCGCTGTGTTCACCTAGAGGAAAGCGATGGGTCATGGCCCTGGAAGTCGTGGTGTCCTGTCCACAGATGTCCAGAAAGCCTGCCTTTGCTTCTGAGGCTGGTCCTGGGGGAAGAGGGAAGACAATTTGGTGGAGCCATGCCAGCCTAGGCATGTGCTTCAATGAGTCGCAAAAGGGTGGGCTGAGGTACTTGGTCCCACACACATAGAACAACAGGTGGCTGTGGGTGGTGTTGTGAGAGGAGCTGTTTCCTGTTGTTATTGCCGCACCTGCCAGCAGATGGCACCTCAGTACAGCTCAGGTTTCTGTGCTGCTGGGTGACCTCCTCAATCGCCCAGGAAGGCACCATCCCAGCGCCTTCTTTGGGACAGCACCTTCCCTCTGTAGTGTCTCATTTCCACTCCACACAGGTCTGAGGGCAGGTGGGGAACCAGTGTCCCATGGGGTGGGGGTGCCACATAGCAAGGATGTGTTGGGCCAAATTGCAGAGCAGCAGCGCATCCGAAGTGAGCGGGAGAAGGAGCGCCAGACCCACAGGAACGCCAGACTGCAGGAAAGGGTTTGGGGCAGGTTCTGCGGGGTCACCCTCAGGGGCTGATTCAGACAAGCCTCTCCTCCCTCACTGTGTAGTTTTTTTTTTTTAATTTTGTAATAGTTTATTTTTACACATTTTTGTGAATTTTTCCATCTCAGTTGCAATCCCCTTGGGTTTCCCATCACCAAATCACCGTGTGCCATCACCATAGTCCAGTGCATTTCCCTCCCCCCACTGTTTTTGATCCCAATCCCCACTCCACCCCCATAATATGTCTCTGGTGTATAGCTGTTCATCATTATCATTAACTGCGGTTTTGAGCACGTCTCTACCAGAGCCTCAGCTTTCTGAAATGAGATGAACAATACTTGCTTCCTGGTTGGCTGTGAGCGGAAATGACACACAGCGAGTGCCCTCTGGCTGTTCCCCGGCAGAGCACGGTCATGGTTGGGGTCAGTTGTGCACCGAGGCCGTATTTGCAGGGGAGGGGCCCTACCGGCCCAGGCCCCTCGGCCGCCCAGGCCCAAGGCAGTGTTCATGCCGGTGGTTCCTTTTTCACAATAGGTCGTTCATGCCCAACTTGGTGCCACCCAAGATCCCCGATGGAGAGAGAGTGGACTTTGACGTGAGCACTGGTTTCTGGGGGAGTAGGCCTGTCTGGGGTGGGCTCAGGGCGCTCAGGGGAGAGACCTGTGACCTTGTGGGCAGGGGAGGCTGCAGGCGGTAGTAACCCCAGGGCTGAGCCTCGAATCTCTGGGTTCAGCTCACTCTTGCCCTTTATGGGCCAGAACTCCCATTTCTATCTGGAACTCATGGGGAACATCACCTCCGACCTGGCTGTGCACCCCCAGGACATCCACCGGAAGCGCATGGAGAAGGACCTGAACGAGCTGCAGACGCTGATCGAAGCTCACTTTGAGAACAGGAAGAAGGAGGAGGAGGAGCTCCTTTCCCTCAAAGACAGAATCGTAGGTTTCCTGTCTCCCAGGGCAACATAAGCTAAGCCCCTCTCTGGTATCCCTCTGTGTCCCACCACCTCCTCCAGGCAGCCTTCCCTGGAGCCCTAACACACTACAAGTGGGCTCTCCAGCGGGACCCCGCCCTGGGGCCCTGGCCCTGCTGTGTTTCTCCTGAGGGCTCAGCTGCTTGTCTAGCCCTGGGCGCCCCTTGTCCCTCCATGCCCAGGCCCTGGCTAGGGATGACTCCAATGCCTGGGGCCCCACTCTGCCCCGCCCCCCTGCCCAGCTGGCATCACTTCCCACACTGGCGGAGAGGAGTCTAGTCAGGAGCAGGGTTATTCCTATTCCTCTTTTTTCTCTCCAACCAACTTGCCCTCCCCCAGGCCTGCTCCTCTGGCTGGTAGCTGCACTTGGCCACCTGTCTGGGCAACCATCAGCTGCCTGGGCGGGGCCGGGGGGAGCACTGTGGGGAGACAAGAGAAGCCTGCCTGGCATTTTCTGAATCGTTGGAGATGATCCCACAGTGATGAATGTCCAGGCAGGGCCGTGGCACAGGCCTGGCACCATGGTGGGTTCCCTGGAGCACCTGTCTCTGCATCTGTCTGTGGAGTGGTGGAGAGCAGAAGCCATCAGAGGAAGTGCATTCCGGGCCTTGGGTTCCCTCACCCCCCTTCCCCTGGCTGGTGCCTACACCCTGAGGGCTGGTGGGGCCCGGGATGGTTCTGGCAGCAATGCAGCCTTGGCATCTACCCCATAGGAGAAGCGCCGTGCCGAGCGGGCAGAGCAGCAGCGCATCCGAAGTGAGCGGGAGAAGGAGCGCCAGACCCGTCTGGCTGTGAGTGCCCCAGCCCAGGCTCACCGGGCCCCACGTGCTCCCAGCCCCCAGCCTCCCAGGTCCCTCTCTGTTTGTGGATGTGGACCCAGCCAGGAGGCAGCAAGTACCTCGTGAGCTGGGCTGTGATGATGCACATGGGCCAGACAAAAGCCCTGACCCCTCCTCCCTGACCCAGTGTGGGCTCCCCGGGAACTGGAGGCTCCAGAACCTTCTTCCTGTGGTGCTGTTGCTGAAGTCCTTCCCAAGCAGCACGCTCTTGGGGTACTCAGCCTGAGCGGGTGATGGGGCCTCACAGTGGGCAGGAGGACCTCATTCATGCCCACTCTGTGTGCCAGGCCCTGGGCTGGGGTGTCTCAAGGAGCTTCTCAATTAGGGCCGAGGAGCCCAACTCAGCTTCCCCTAAAGGCTCAATCCAGAATAAAGTTTCCTGCCCCCCCCCCCCTAAATTGCTCTCATCCTCCTGTCTCCATGTCAGGAAGAGAGAGCCCGGCGAGAGGAGGAGGAGAACAGGAGAAAGGCTGAGGATGAGGCCCGGAAGAAGAAGGCTTTGTCCAACATGATGCATTTTGGAGGCTACATCCAGAAGGTGGGTGGGGGGCCGGTCTTCAGGGGGTCCTGGTGCAGCAGGACTGGGTGAGCGGTATGGCCCTGGGCTTCATCAGGAAGCCTTCCTGGGGCCGCTGCAGGCAGAGGCCAGGGCATCTGTCCCTCCCATGGGGTGGTGGGGTGGCCCTGTGGCCCCAGGGGGCTGCATGCAGCTGAAGAGCCCTGTGCCTGCTGAGAGCTGTGCTTGGAGACCTAGTTGAGATAGACAGATAGACACACAGACACACACACACAAACACAGCCTCCTGCGACCCGGGAGCCCCCATTTCTCATGCGGGCTCTGGGGTTCCTATTACCTGCATCCAACATGCTAGCGGGCAGAGTACCCAGGTGCTGAGGATGAGGGGTTGTTCCTGGAACCCAATCCCTAGCTTTTGTGTCCCAATCTGACTACATGTCCATCCTTGGGGGCAGATGGAAACTCGAGATGGATATTCTCCATGCAGTGGGGGGTCGGGTCGCCCTGGACTGCCAAAGTCCTGAGCAGAACCAGGCCAGCCAGCCTGCCTCTTCCCAGGTGGCCACGCCAGCCCCCCTCTGCAGTTGCTCCAGCCCCCCACCCTAGGCTCCTGTCCTGGTGAGCAGGGAGCTCCAGCGAGCCTCCTCATCACCTTCTCCTTCTCCCCTGTGTCTGTCTGCCTTCGTCTCCTGCCCTGTCCCTGCGCTCTGTCTGCCCCTGTCCTGTTCTGGGCTTTCTCTCCGGGTCTTTATCTCATGGTGTCCTGGTTCAGCAGGCCCAGGTGGGTACCACAACCTCATACTCTCCTCCTCCTCCTCATAGTCCTGGGAGCTTCCTGGAGGGAGGCAAGTGGCCCTTGGGCAAGGTTGGAGGGAGGGAGTCAGGAGAGAGTTGGGAGAGCGGGGAGGCAGCAGAAGGACAAATGCCAATTCTCCCTCCTGTGAGTCTCTGGGGACCCAGGCAGTGGATGGTGTGGGGGAGCAGGGATGAGAGGAGGGAGCCAGATCCTCCTGCAGCCTTGCCCCACTCCCCACTGGCTTTGGGGAAGGGTGGGGGATGGTAGGAAGTGGGGGTACCCTCTAACCAAGTCCCCTGCTGGCCATTCCCTCCAGACTGAGCGGAAAAGTGGGAAGAGGCAGACGGAGCGGGAGAAGAAGAAGAAGATTCTGGCTGAGAGGAGGAAGGCGCTGGCCATCGACCACCTGAATGAAGATCAGCTGAGGTGGGCCAGGGCTGGTGAGGGGCTGAGGGAGCGCATGGAGGGCAGGGCATTGCCACAGCCGACCACCAGGGGGCGCTGCCGCCTGGCTGATTTCCCAAGGGAGCTGGGTTGGGCCAGTTGGGTGCTTTGTGAGAGGGAGAGAAGACTGAGCAGGCACCTCACCTGTGTGAGCCTTGCCAGATGCCCCTGCACACAGGAGGGAGCAGGGGAGCCAACAGGGTGCCCTGAGTGCCGCAGGGGGCTCCCTCTCCTCTGGCCCCAGAACTTGGTCTTGCAGTCCTCTGCTGTCCTTTCCTCAGCTCTGGGTGCTGCCCTTTGGATTTGGGGCCTGTGCTGGCCAAGCCCTTAGGGTGGGGGGCTGATCCCCGCAGGCTGGAGTGGATAGGAGGCTGTCACCCCTGGGGGCTGGGTGGGCCTCCGGATGGAGGCAGGTGGCACCCAGATCCCCCAGCCCCATCCTCACTGCGGCCTTTTCCACAGGGAGAAGGCCAAGGAGCTGTGGCAGAGTGTCTATAACCTGGAGGCGGAGAAGTTCGACCTGCAGGAGAAGTTCAAACAGCAGAAGTATGAGGTGAGTGTGCTCCTTGCACCCCAAGCCCTGTGCACCCCATATTCTCCGCTTTGATGGTGTTTGCAGTCTGTTGCTGGTCAGGCACCTTTTCCTGTCCCTTCTCCCCAGCACCCCTCCACCCTGCCTGCCACCTCCTTTCCTACAGTCCTTCCCTTCATCTCCAGGGCCATTGTTTGCTGGGGTTGAGCAAAGATTTGTTCCCTGGGCCCAGCCTTGGGGCCCCTCTCTCCTGGCCAGGCCACACCAAACCAGACCCCTTGGGCCTCTCTGGGCCCCTAATTTTTCTCACCTTCTTAGTATACTGTTCCCCCTTTATTCTCCTTCTCGCCTCTCTTCCTCGCCCTTCCTCTTCTTTCTCTGTTTCCTTCCCTTCTTCCTTTTCCTCTCCTCTCTCTACTCTTCCCTCCTGCTCTTCTCCCTCCTCTTCCCCTCTCTGCTGCCGAGCCCCTTTGCCCTCACCCACAGGCTACCTGGCACCTCAGTTAAAATCAGCTCCCACATTTCCCTTTCAGATCAATGTCCTCCGAAACCGGATCAATGATAACCAGAAAGTGTAAGCATCTGGGCTCCCTCCTCCCTCCTCTCTGCCGTCCACCCCACTGGCCCTCCTCTCCCCTGTTCCCCCTGGCCAAGGCCCCTGGGAAGTGGGTGGAGCCACTCACTGCAGCCAAGGGTCCTGCCCCGCTCCCCCTGGGCCCTGGCCCTGCGGCCCAGCTCCTGCTAGTGGAGACTGATGCCCTGTACCCTCCGACACTGCTGGTCTTCTTGCAGCTCCAAGACCCGAGGCAAGGCCAAAGTCACCGGACGCTGGAAGTAGACGCTGCAGCCTCCTTGGCCAGAGATCTGCTCCTGGCCGCTTCCCTGTCCTGCTTGTCCCCAGCTCCAGGCCTCCTGGGCACCCGAGGGGCACTCCTAGTGGACACTCCTCATGGAGGCCACCGCCCCCCACACGCCCCACACCTCGCTTGCCCCACGCATCACTAATAAAGAGTCACCACACACCTAAAAGCAATTCTATCACTTCTCCTTCAGAGCGGGGAGAAACTGAGGCAAGACCCAGTCTCACAGGGAGTCAGGTTGCAGTCTCCCCGCAGGACGTGGCCCCGGCTTCTGGCAAACCTGAACGAGCTCTTGCCTGTCTGACATCCCTCCCAGCAACTTTGGGCAGGAGAGACCAGGATGCCTCAGGGCCGGTGGGAAGGGGGCACCAGCCACAGAAAAGGCCATCACGTCAGCACTGAATCACCAGGGCTCAGCCAGGCGTAATGCGGTCCAGGGGGCGGAAGTGCCTGCCTGAGTCACCCTTGGGAAGGGGAAGGCCTCCTCAGGAGGTCCTGCCTTCTCCTCCTGGCCAGGGCACCAAGGAGCGGGCATCTGGGAGGTAGGGAGCCCTGTGGTAGGACGGCCAGTTGCGCTGGTCAGTCAGAGCTGCCAAGAGGGGCAGGCTGGCCCGGGTGCCTCGGTTTCCCCCTCCCCAAGTCTGTATGTCTTCCAGGCTTGAATGGTAACCTGGGGACCACAGGGTCCCTGTGCTGAAGAGGACAGCCCGTGGCATGGGTCCAGCAGGCCGAGGACAGGGAAGCCAGGTGGGATGAGAGTGTCATGCTCACCAGCGCTGCAGTGGAAACCCATGGAGCCCTCTCGTGTCCGTCTGAGCCCTGGCTCAGGCTGCTCCCTCTGCCTGGGGCCTCCTGCTCGCCACTGTCCCTCCGCAAAGGGCACTGAGTGAATGTTGTTTCCCAGCAGATTTCCCACCTTCTGCCTGGCTGATTGAGCCCCCTAGGCCCTGCTCTGGCTGTGCTCAGCAGAGTCAGGCCCTCAGAGGCCACCATGCCCCTCCTATTTGCAATGTGTACCCCACCTCTCCTGTGTGCTGGCCAAGCGCTGGACAGATGCTAGTGATGAAGAGGACAAGCTGCCAGGAGGGCTTAGGCTGGGGTCTAGATTTCTCACTCGTTCATTCATGCATGCATGCAGTCACTCAAAAATCTCTCCTGAGCGCTAAATATATGCTAGGCCTTGTGCCAAGCACAGTAGGCACCACTGCCCTCACGGACTCACAGCCCATTGGGGAGAGGGCACAAAAAAGCAGATTCCAGCTCACTGTCCTCACAGGTAAGGATGAGCCTTGCCACCTGGACTTGGGGGGGCGGGGTTTGGCTGGCTTTCTGCAGGAAATGGTGGGGAGGAGAAGGTCAAGGAGAGGGACGGGCCAGCCTGCTGGCCTAGGAGAGGGAGCCAGCCTGCTGAGAGACAGGGTCATCAGTTACAGACCTTTGGGCCTCTGGTGGGGACAAGAGGACCCCACTGGGAGTGCTCCGAGGCCAGGGAGGCGGCCGGTGGCCCCTGGAGGGCTCTCATTCCTGTCTCTGACCTGAGGGCAGTCCTAGGTTCAGCCCCAGACTCCTTCTCCATGCCATAGCAGTCACAGCCCAACCCCTCTCCTATAATGGGGTGCTGCAGCCCCACCCTCACCTGCCACCAGAGAGAGGGACATAGGGTCCAGGACTGGGACATCATGATTCTCCACCCCATTAGGTCCCTTGGGAGCCCCATCTGGTCTCCCTGGAGCAGCAAGGGGAAGGATGCTAGTATCTGGGTCCCCCTCCCCCTGCCTCCTGCCCAGCAGGGACTCATAAGGACCCCTCTTCCCGCAGATGCAAGGGCTCCTTTATGAACCACAGTTGGGTGGGACAGAGGCCGCCCCCCCCATGCCAGGTCTCCCCATCTCTTCCTCCTAAGGTCACCAGGTGTGCCGGAATGACCTCTGGAGTGCCCCAGACTTTGTCCCCGTTCAGGGTTGGTGACTGTGTGCCTAGTCCCAGAGCCCCCAGCTAAATGACCCTCACTACACCACGATGTCTTGCATAGTCTGGGCCTTTCGGTCATGCCCACCCCTCACTGGGTCTCTGGGCCCCCTGTGCCTACCACCAGGCTCTGGAATGCAAACTCTGCTGGGGCAGAGAACCCTGCCTGCCATCACGCCTTCAAATGCGTTGGAGTCCTGGGCACAGTGGCAATTACTGTGCCCCTTTTGGAGGGAAAATCAGGCTCCCCAGGGCTCACTGCCTTGGACTCCAGCTCCCCACTCCTTGCTCTGAACCCCCCTAGCCCCAGCCCCCTGTAGCAGGTCTGGCCCTGCCGCTTCCCACCTCTGGGGCCTCGATTCCTTGCTCCTCTGCCCAAGTCCCTTATCTAGGGATTGCTGGGCAGGGTGACAGGCGCCAGTGACAACCACTGTCACTGCCTTTCTGGTTATCACACGCTGCCAGCCTGCTCGGAGCTCAAGGTCTGGGGAAGCTGGGTCCCCCAGGCTGGGTCCATGGTGGCCCCTCCTTGTGCGGGGTTGCCTCTGGGAGCCTCCTGGCCAGCCCCCGGGCCTGGGGTGCTGAGGCCTTGTTGGTGGCCGCCCCAGGTGGAGGTGGCAGAACTGCTCCCAGGCCGGCCCCACCCTGACACTGCAGCTTGGTTTCTGGAAAGGGTGGGGTGGGCCCCGCCCTGGGTGGGAGGCTGGATTCTCTCCAGTTGGCCTCAGTAGCGCAGACACTGGGCAGTACAGGGCGGATCCTGCTGGACTCTGTCTCCCTGCAGTGTGGCCGGCGTGGGCTTTGCCCTCCAGGAGGGAGACCGAGGTGGGAAACGGGGGTGATCAGGGTGCAAATGACCCCCTCCTCCTACACAGCACACCCCTCAGATGTCTCGCACTTGAGTCTTGGGCCAGACCCTGTGCTGGCTGCACCACGTGTTTGCTCTGGCCAACGACCAGCGACCCTGGGTCTCATCCCGTGGCTCCAAGAAGAAACTGAGGCTCAGCGTTTTAAGCAACCAGCCGGCAGATCATTCAGCTAGAAGATGGCAAAGCTGAGAATGGAAATCAGGTTAATGGATCCAGAGTTCCCTGGTGCGTGGCCCTGGCAGGTTGACGGTGTACCCCTAATCTCCCCAGGGCAGTGTGGGGCTAGAATCCCTGTGAGCTGGCTGGGGCAGGCTTGGGGTCAGGCCACAGAGCATAAGCCATGGCTCCTTCATGGGAAACACCAGCCTGCCCTGTTCCTCCTTGCTTGTGCCCGCAGCCTGCTAGGCTGATCTTTCTGCTCTGCCCCACACCCCCAGTAAGCCCTGGAACTCTTGGGGGTGATGCACCCACCCAGCACCTGGAGGCTATCCTTAGAGGTGACTCTGGAAGGAGCAGTGGGGTGTGTGTGGGGTCCCCAATGGGGGAGCCAGTGAAGCTGTCTCCTCCTCAAGAGGTGCGTTCCTGTGTTCAGGGGCAGATGGGGGGTCCTGTGGCTCAGGTCGTTGCTTTGTCAGTGGGTCACCCCTCTACCCTGCCCAGAGTGGGAACCCAGGGCAGAGGTTTGGCCTGAATACCGGCAGTCGGACTGACCCACGCTGTTGGAGCAGTGGGCTCCTTCTGTGACCTCACCTCCATCCTTCAGCCCCCCGGCCTCTTAAAGTCCAGCAGCAAGGAGCTATCTATATTTGCTCCCCCCCACCCCATGTTCCTTGCTCTCCCCTCTCCGCACTGCTCTTTCCCATCCCACAAACACCCTGCCTCCGCAGCAGCCCGCCATCCTTCAGGGCCTGGCTCAAGCTGCTGTTTCTGCAGGAATGCCCTCTCCCCACCATTGTTGTCTTGAGAACCCCACATTAGCAAAGGGTGAGTGCTGGGAGGCAGCTCATGCCAGCAGCTTTCCCTGACCCCACCCCCCAAATGCAGGCCCAGTCCCCCAGCCTGCCTGGCCCTCGGCTGTCCTGAAGAGCAGCCACAGCCCCGGGCCTCTGGCCCATTTGCACTGCCTGGGCCCCTCTTGCTTGACTGGAAAACTGCTTGGGGATTGGGGTGTGCTGAAGGTGTGGCCAGGGTACCCAAGAGCCAGTGCAGGGTTAGGGGGTGGAGAGACCCTGAGGCCTGGGCGCTTTACCCAAATGTGGAAACATTTTTCTCCTGAGTCTTCAATCCAGGGCATTTGAAATTGCCAGAGGTTGGGTGGGGCTGAGAACTGGGGTGAGCAGGTGGGTGGGGCTGGCAGTGCCAGGGCAGGGCCTTGCCTGGTTTCTGTGAATCACAAGACCCAAGTGAATGGGCTTTCATGGCTGCTTGCTACCCCGAGATAGGGGTGTGGGGGTAGGGGGTGGTCAGGGGTGGGAATGGCAAGGGGGAAGGGAGAGGCACTTCATTTCTGCTAGGGGAGTGTTTCCAATGAACTGGACACAGGGGCCCCTCCGGCCCTGAACCTCCCATCCACTGGGGCCCAGGCAAGGTGCTGAACTCTGGACTCTGCCGGGAGACAGACTTGCTTTATCAGTCAGCTCCATGATGCCACCAAAAATGGCATGAGCTGCTGCTTCTCACACACTTGCTGTGTGCCAGGTTCTGTGCTAAGTGATCTAAGTATGCCCTGATTACATAACAGGCAAAAAGTTAGGGCCCACAGGAATGGCTCCATTTAGACAAGGGGACACCGAGGTCCAGGGGAGTTAGGTGACTCACCCGAGGTCACACAGGCAGGATTCTGATGCTTCTGATTCTGATTTTTTGTTTTCTTTCCCCAGTATACTTTCCACCAAATTAAATTGAACTTGTATAGAAACAAAGAAAAGCCTTTTTCTAAAGAAAGAGTTTCTGTATTTAGTCAACAAATACTTACATAATCTCTCACTACATGATGTAAAGTACATGCTCATTAATCCTTATTGTAGGAAAACTTGGGTGAAATAATGTTGGAATCATCTAGGGCCAGATTTTGCTGACTCACCAGACATTCTGGGATGCTGAGTCTAAGGTTTTAGACTGTAACTTGCTGGGCTAAATGACTTATGGATTATCATACGCCTCTTTCCACTCAGCTGAGCCTGTGATTTCCTCATCTCTCCTCCTGTCTAGACGGGTGCTTCTGGGGGCCGGGGGCCCTGACTTGCTCATCCCTACATTCCGGTACCTCTCCCTACATGTTGA